AACTGAAAGATCATGCTGTAGCTGCTGGGTAGCATCTGACACAAGAAAACCCCTTTCAGAAAATCAACTATTGTAATGAAGGTTGAACTATCAACTGTGAACTTCTCAAGACAATGGTATCTTTCATAAATGTGAGTTTGGGGAAGATTGTCATTTACGATTAAAATTGTATACATTTATACTATTTATTAATTAGAATATTTGTTAGTCTAAACACTAATTTTGTCTGTTTTCTGTTTGTTTTTTTTGCTGTTTCATGAATTGTTTTGTATTAAATAATAATCAGTTTTACTTGTTGAAGCTAAAAAAGTGATTTAAAAAAATAAATCTTCCCTGAGAAATATTCACTGGAATAAAAAGTGTAACAACTAAAACAAAAAGTCCCCAAAGTGGTACTGCTACAGGGACTTCTCCCTATTTTTTCATAACAGACTAAAAGCACCAAAATAATGCTTTAGATTTTAATAAGATTTTAGTCTAGATATAAAGCAAAAACACTTTTGTTTCAATCTGTATTAAAAAAAAAAATCAAATAAATTTAATGAATATATGTAAAAGTGTCTTTAACCTGAAACATATGAAAACGAAACTGAAACAATGTTTTTTAAGGCACTATTCTCATAATTGCATCATAAAAAATTAATTGCATGTAATATTTTGACCAAATTTTCACTTACAAAAATGTCCTTTGTTAACAATAAAATATGACAAAAACATTTAACAAATATTGTAACTACTGTGAAACTGTATGAACATTATGAATGAACATTATCCCCCCAAACAGTGTTTCAGAATCTCACTTCTGTCGTCACCACTGTCCATTGCCTGTGCTACTCATCTTTGTTCTTTGTTTGATGGCAAAAAAGAATTTCCTTCATTTGTGGAAATCGAACAGGATTGTGCTTGCAGTGTAAAATGGAAAATAAAACATCATGACAATCACATGTTTTCATTTCGCTGTCATAAGAGTGAAAGAGCATTACAATATGAAAGGGGATTTTGGCAGGGTGGCCAACGCATTGGCTATGGGCTTTATTACGTGAGCTTGAGTTCATGCTGGAAATCACGTGACCTCCCAGCAAAGCCCCCTTTCTTGGCTCAGACAAGCTTCTTTTTATTGCTTTAGAAGAAGAAGAAGAAGAAGAAGAAGAGAAAGTGTGTATAGAACAATAAACCTGTAAATCAAAGGAATGTCCTGAAAAGACATGGGCTTAAATATAGTTTCCTACATATTTTATTACTTCAAGGATCTTTGACATTCACCGTGGAGAGGAACTGAAACATCCTGTCACCTTAGACCTATTGCAAAATCTCTGAATGCAGTCCATCTTTTCCAGCAAGTCTGACTGTATCCTTCTTTCCTCAGTTAATTCCATGAATGCAGTATGGAAAAAGTTTATAAGTACAACGAAAGTACTTGAAATTCCTGTTTGAGTCCTTTTAACAGGAACTATGTGTGGAGGCAGGAATAAAGCTAAGTGGGACATTCCCAAGGACATGCTAGTGTGAGGAAACGGGGCTTTTCCTGGAAAAGATCAATTATGCCCTGGATGAATGAAAACAACTCACAGTGTAAGACTTGAGATAACACAATGTAATTAGCATTTTTAGTCAAAGAATGTACAGCATGACATTTTTCTAAAGAAAATGTGAGTAGTGCTTCCTGTGATAATGTTAAAGTCACAGTCACAGTGCTAAACTGCTATTGCCTCTGTGTTGCTGTATTGCTTTTCTGGGTGGATGTTTAGTGGTTCGATTTTTTTTTCCAGCTGATGAAAGATAAAAACATTGACAGCGAGTCAGAATTGACCCAATATTAAAGAGCTTGAGTATTTAAAGCAGCAGATGACATAACTGCAGTGTGCTTATAATAAACAGAACGATATCGTCAGTTGGCATGGATGCTAATATAGTTATTGTTATAGTTAATGTTCAAACAGGGCAGAGCGAGTCACATGCCAAAGTTTAATACTTAAGGTTTTGCTGAAATCTGTATGAGCAATAGGCCTCAATCAGGTTAGACGCCATTTTGAATTCAACATGGATGAAAATGCTGCTGTGAGGGATAGTCTTTAAAATGGCACGCTCTGTATAAAGGTCCTAGATCACTTAATTTTCACACAGCGGCTCACAACCTTCGGTTTTATTGAGTTTTTGTCTACTGAAAGTTTTTTGGGAAGATGTTTTGTCAGCTGAACAATCAGTAGGTTGTTAAACAGCAGTACAATACATTGAAAGCACTGTACTTCAGTTCAGTCCCTCACAGCCTCGTTTTCGTTCCTGTCAAAAATGAAATATGGCACTACCTTAAGGTCTATAGTAATATGGACACTTGCCTTAACAAAAAACACCATCCCAGTAGAGGGCTTCATATTGCCTTAACATTCAATTACTAAATATAAAGAACCATGAAGTTTATAAAGTTGTGTGGGATGAATGCAGGTAAATGTTACATAGACTAAGCAAAAACAAACAAGAGCAGAGAAGCACACAAAGCTGTGGGAAACAAAAATTCTGACCCTGATGGTGGCTGTTTGTATCTGAGAAGTATACTGTATCACTGCTATGCCCTCATCGAATGACCTTCAAATGGCTTAAAAGGACATATTTGTTTTGGCTGGAATACACTATAGGACTGTTGCCCAGGGTTTTGCGCTAGTTTGTAGACTATGAATTTGACCAGTCGGAGGATATCAAACATGTTCAGTATTTTGAGTTGATTTTAGAACAATTTGTTTTAATTTCATATACATCTTCTAGCAACAAGGCTCATGTTTCTGTGTGAATTTGTTGTGTTCGGAACGTTCAGAAAGTCTAGTGTGTGATCCTCAGTCATTTAGTGTATGATGTACATTTTTTCCCTCAACTACAAAGTTGGCAAATGTATTATACCTAGAGTTTCTAAACCTGTTCAGATTTTTAAAAATCAAGTACACTCTTAAAAAAATAAAGGTGCTTCACGCTTCACGATTCCACAGAAGAACCTTTTTTGTTTAAATGATTCCATAAAGAACCTTTAACATCTGAAGAACCTTTCTGTTTCACAAAAGGTTCTTTGTGGCGAAAGACACTCTTAAAAAAATAAAGGTGCTTCACGATTCCACAGAAGAACATTTTTTGTTTAAATGATTCCATAAAGAACCTTTAACATCTGAAGAACCTTTCTGTTTCACAAAAGGTTCTTTGTGGCGAAAGAAAGTTCTTCAGATTATAAAAAGGTAAGAAAGAGACGGTTCTTTAAAGAAACTTTGACTAAATAGTTCTTCTATGGCATCGCTGTGAAGAACCTTTTAAGCACCTTTATTTTTAAGAGTGTAGGGTATTAAAAATCTTTAGTCTATATTTGTTATTCCCTTTGTCGGTTTAGTTTTTTGCTATGCAGGATAGTATAACACCTTAATTCTGTACAGCAGTGTATTCCAGTCCCCAAATTTTAATCCAATATTTTTTTTTCAGTGACTCTTTCTAGAGATTCCGTTGTTTTTATGTGCAAGTCGTTGAATCATTCATTCAACCATTTTGTTCAAAATGCTGATTCATTAGGAAATGAAACACCACTAGTGTGTATTGCTAGGAGATGGAACAGTTGATTCTATTTTGAATTCATTTGGAACTATTTTGAAGCAAGAAGTAACTGTCAATATTGTATTTAAATGTAAGTCCCTCTATTGTGTATTAAAGTGTTGTATAAAAGCATTATCACACTCATAATCATGCTGTTGGTCTGAATATGTTACAACACCTCCCTTGCTGGTGAGCTGTTGCTTATGTAGAAACTCAGAGGAATTCTCTCTTGATCTGTGTTATCTATCCTGCTGTCTCAATGCATTCCATTCTCCCCCCTGAGACTATAAAGCCTTCCTCTCCCTGACATCAAAGAAATAAACAAAATTATGCTGCAAGTCTCATCAGATTTCTTATGCTGTTTGTTCAAATAGAAGTCTCATTATGTGTGACGTTAATAACATAAAGCCTCCTTTTGAGATGACTTGTTAGGTATTAAAGCTTGTAAGGCTATGAGTCCTCAGTTCACTGAGAAGACACAGGGTACTCTGTTTTTCAGTGAGAACTCAATACTCCAAATACGCACAATCTCAGAGACTTTAGTGCTTCCTGACTTCTTATCAGAATCAAACCAACTTACCCCCACCTTTCCGGATTCTTGTGGAACACAATTATTGTTTTCATCACCCATAGAAATTAACCAGAACCTACAGAAACATGTTTGGGAATTGCATGCTTTTATTAATTAATTTATTAAAACAAACACAGAACAAGTCAGCAATAGATCAGGAAAAACTGCAGCAACTCTGTGTCTGGCCAACTCTGATTTAAAGAACATTTCACATCAAGTACGCAAACATGTTATGGACATCTCAACATTTATTAAAACTTGAATTAAAAAAGTGTTGCCAGTTCTGCATTGTCATAAAGTGGATCTAATAAGCAGGGAAGACCAGATAAGGGTTTTGTAATACAGTGATTTTTTTCTCTTTATTGAAAGTCATTTTCTCTATGCGCTTATGCTAAAGTCTAGGTGAGACATGTTGTCAAATCATATGAGGTAAGCAAACATCTGAATGTATGTCAGTGGTTTTATTGTGTTCATTTGTTTAAGCATTATTACAAAAGTATTATTTGGTTATAAAATGAACAAATATTATACTAATTTAATAGAGTTCTGAAATTAGGCTAGTGTTAGATAGCCTAACAACATACAAAACCACTGCTAAAGAAAATTGTTTTTTTTAACTCCCAGCCTACTAAAATCTAGCACACATCTAGCCCCAGTCTCCCCTTTTTAATACAGTAAAAAAAAAAAAAAAGACTGGAACTCCGGTAAATTCCAGTGTGTCACAGTCATTAAGGGTCATTGTGAATGTATAAGTGGAAGTAAAAAGTTATGTGAAATGTGAAGGAGAGCTGAGTCCCAAATAATTAAGGGGCATTCCAGTAATCCTCCTCCTCCTCACATCGCTACCCAGGGGAGACCAAAACACGTGGTCATTCTCACTTTTAATCTCTCACTGGGTGAAGTGTATCGCAAATATCCTAAGGGAGAAGGACATCTCGTTTCTAAAGCTCAGGACTGGAGTTTAACATTGTTTTAAAATGCAGAAGTGGTCGTTTTCTCTCGCAACATCTTTTCGGGTTTTCTATATGCGACTAACGTTACTCGGATTTTGTTTCCTGCACTTCTCACTAGTCACAGGTAAGTGTTTTTTTTAATATTTCGTTTGATTAGTCTACAAAATGTCGACAATAACTGCGCCACTCGCTTTCTTATTTCGCTTGTTTTGTGTCACCGGTTCAAAGCATGAGTGGTAGGCTACTGCATACCTTTTGTTAATCTTGTTTGAAGCAATAATAATAATAATAATAATAATAAAAAGGCTACTGCATACGGAAATGTTCATTGACAACAGTGCCTCTGAGACTGCCATACTATTTTAATGCTATATGGTCCAATTAAAAGTATTATCATGAAACATTCTTTAACAACTAACAAGAGGTTGTGTCTGCCCGTTCAGTATCTTAAGTGCCGTCTGTTCTGAATTAGCTCACAGATAAGGGTGCGAACAGGCGATATAATGACTTTCAGAGGCGTCAGAATTATTAAAATAACTTGAGCGAAAACACGAGCTTGTCGGTTTTGTGGTTACTTTTAAGCGCCTAAAGACTTATAAAAGTAAATCCATATAATTCGTATAAATACTTTAAAGACCGGACTAAATTACTTTTGGTTTTGTCTACACCTCGAGTAGAGTCATTTATCTGCGTTTGGCACCGGACGTTTCGACCCATTCCAGTATTTGAAGAAGATCACCTGTAAAAAGCCTAACGTTACCAGAGGAGGGCGCAATGCACATTTTCAAATCTCTTAAAGGCACCATATGTAAGTTTTCGCCGCTAGAGGGCGCGTATTCAAAAGAAACAAAGGCGTATTTGATGACGCCGTGACTGAGTGTGGAATCATGGGAGTTGTCGTCTTCATCCCCACAGCCGATGCAATCCGATGAGACTCGGGCAGAATTCATGTTCATGGATGTATTGTAAGTACACAATGTGCAGGGCAGGGACAGGACAGGTTTGAAAACCACTGATGTAGAACATTATAATGTTCTACATCAGTGGTTTTCAAACCTGTCCTGGAGGCACCCCTGCCCTGCACATTTAGCATGTCTCCCTTATTAGACACACCCAAATCGGAGCCGTTCCTCAATATGCGTTCTTGGCCCTGTCCCAAATGGAACACTTCATGTGCACCTGCGGTCTTACGGACTTACAATGGCCAGCCGTTTTAGGTAGGTGTGGCTGACTCTTAACTTTTATAAAGAATATCTCTTTGGATTTGAGACTTTAGTCTTTGCAACTTCACAGATCTTCTTTATGCACCAAGAGCTTGTAACACTCTAAAGAGAAAGGAAAAAATGAAATTGCGTCATATGACCCCTTTAAAAACACCAGAGCACAGTGCCCTTAACGCACACTAAATCCACTCCGGAGCGGTATTCGAGGCTTAATGTATCCCATCATGCATCATGTTCTGGAAATAAATGGTGAGACTTTTTGTAGAGATCTTTGGAAACCTTTCCAATGAATGTTAAATATTAATGACAATTAGATATTACATATAATTTGCTACTAAAACAAAGGGTTGCACGTTTTATTGGTGCAAATGAGTAGTGGTGATATTTATTTTGTGAAACATTTGCAACTGCTTTTTATCACTTAATTAGAAGCATTAATTAAATTGTCATCTGTTATAAAGACACTGAACAGACATTTAGAATTTGATTTTAAAATGCAAAGTATTGAAAATAAAAATAAAGCTCTGTAAACACTTGCATTTTTACAACACTATTATAGTGTGTCCTATCAGGTAATGAAAAGTTCTACACACACTTGTGGTCTTCATGCTCACTTGAACACTTGGACCAAATACAGGAAATACGTCATATAAGTAGTTAAGTGGTCAAGTGCAAAGACCGCAAGTGCGGGGATTTGGACAAGGCATAACTAAACACAGTTGGAAACAAGCAGACTAATGACAAGGGGAAACAGGAACAGGAAACCAGTAAAACTACAACATAAAAGTCCACATTACAAAGCAAAAGCACAAAGGCACAGAATACATAACAGATGTTCTTACCTGCGGTGCTTTAGTGGGGTTCTTGAGCTGGCACTGTTTCTCCAGATGTGTGATTAGTTGGCTCTGGTTGCTCACTAGAGAAGTGAGTGCATCATACTTCTTTTCCAGCTCTCTGTAACTGCTGGACACCTGAAGCACCTGTCAGGATTTGCCATCGCACAGATGAAATTTGCCGCGGGCTCTGATGTCTCTGTAGTGGTTAAACATGAGATATAATTCATTTTGGGTAAATCTAACAGCCAATCTTTGGTCTCATGAATCTATTATTTCTTCCAGGTCATATCGTTTTGGGTGAGCACAAAGTTATGTTTCATAAATTATTTATTTATTAATCGCAATACAGCACGAACTTGTTGCATACATTTGACTGAATTGTTAGCTTTTGTCTTATTTCCTATTACACATGTCTCTTATACTTTATAGTTATACTTTTATAATGGCTATTATTGTTCATTAAAACATTTAACAAAAAAGGCAGAGTTGTGCTTGTCATATTTCATTTTATTTTATTATACATTCAGTGAGGATAATCAGCCTATATGTGCACATACCTAAACCACATATTAATATGTTTTATATTTTTAAAATGAAAACGAAAAGGGTTTTGTTTTATATTTTGAAGAAAACGAAAAAGCTGTGGTGTTTGATATCATTTTGTTTTATTGTAATGCGTGTACGCGTTGCATGAACCACATTTTTGTGGCTAATAATATTTTAAATGAAACAGAAAAGAGGCAATGCTGTTTGATATATTTTGTTTCACTGTAATGTATGTACGTTCCCCGAACTACATTTTTTGCGGCTATTTATATGTTTAAAAGAAAACAAAAAGAGGCAGTGGTGTTTCATATCATATTTCTTCGTATTGTATACATACAGTGAAGATAACCGGAGTAGCCAAGGCGAGCTGACTTACGTTATCAAGTACTTTGCTCTTCCATTTGTAGAATTACCGGACTTGTGTCCTCCTGTCCTCAGGAGTTTGCACTTCCGAGTCGAATTTGCTAAGTCCGAACTACCGAGGACGCAAGTCCGAACTTTGCGTACTTGGTATTGAGAAACACCCTGCGTTTCAATGTTAATACTATCCATCCTAAATACTAAATAGTATGTGAGATTAGAATAAGTGTGTCCCAAAGCATAGTATGTTGAAAAGAGTATGCCAAAAGTCCCCGGATGGTCTATGTAAACACCATAATCATAATATTGGCTTATTTAGAATAAGGTAAATAATTAGATTACTGATGTCCATGTAAACGTAGTTGGATAAAAGGAAAAAAAATATTAATAGGAATTAAAATAAACAATACTCTAAGAAATAGCATAAGATATTATGTTTAAGTTTAAGTGTCACTGCTACATACTATTTACCACATTGTAAACGGAGACCCACCCCCAGCACTCAACCTAAACTGGTCCGAGTCTGCATGTCCATATCTCAGCCAAAATCAGACCAGCCCTTATGGTCCGTAATCGGGCCGAATGTGGCTAAATGTGCCGTGTCTCAGTGCAAATCGGGCCAGATCTGCACATCCAAAGCCTAGCCAAATCTGGCAACCATTACTGGGCCAGAGCTGGCTCACCTTTGGTGAGCCGCTTCCAGAACACAGCCGAGTGAGCCGACACTCAGCCGCAATTGGCCCGATTGCGCTGGCTACCTGGGTACCAAAGCTACTATCAGGGAAAGTAATGTTGGTCGGCTTATATTTATCCCAGACAGCAACATAGTGTTGGCCCAGATCCGGCCCACATCTGGCCCACGTGGAAACCCCGCCGGCCAGATGTGGGCCGGATC